TGGCATTGGCCCCATGTCCCAGTCATTCCAACCTACACTGCTGCCTGCCCTATATGGACAGGCAGTGTGCTTCAGTACCAGGGAAACGGCCAGCCATAGAGATGCTCTGGCTAGCTACCAGAGCGTCTCTATGGAGGACCAAGCCTTCGGTTGGCTCTGGGCACTGTCCGGGACCATGCCCTGCCCCTCCTTTTTCTCCCGGGGTATTTTTAGATACCTAGATATCCAGGTGTCAAATTTTGCCCCCACGCTACAAATATGCAGTGCAGGGAACCTTTTTTGTTCCTGCACGTGCATCTTGCAGCATCTCAAAGGGGCTTGAGATGCTGCAGGAGGCACATACATGCTCATGTGGACATGCCCCAGTAAACTTTAGCACAGCCCATTTCCTCCTCACCTTACCCCATGACTGAGGGGGACCCTGCATAGTGACCTTCAGTGGTAAAGCAAACCAGTCTGAGAGCTAAAGTGCACCACCAAAACTCTCTGCATTTAGCAACCTCTCTAGATAAATTCCCTTTGCATTTGTCACCATCTGGTTTTGTCTCTACCACAAGACACACAACAGGACTAGGTCTTTTCTAGTCATTAGTAAATAGAATTACTTGTCATATGTCTCAGCATTTTAGGGCTGTTTGCTTTCAGACTGCCAGTGGGTGACCAACACTAAAGTCAGTGTGAAACAGCAATTAGATCAGGCTCTGTTAGTAAAAGCTACCAGGATCTGGAATGATTTGACAGTGACAAAGGTAGCTAGTTAACTCTAATATTCAAGCAGCTGTGTGATATGCTTACACAGCTGGGAGAGCAAATATGCATTATACACATGCAATTGCAGACAGACAAGGTCTATGTCACAGAGCTCTGATCCAGATCCAAACTTCATCAAGTTTAGGGCATTTGCATAGCAAGTTGGAATTGGCTTACCACAGAGACAAGTGCCACACGCAAAATTCAGAGCCAGGTATGATGTTCTGCAGAGGGAGCAGTGTACTTGGAATCAGTGCTGTGGTTTGGATACTACATATTCATCACCTACTTACTGGGATCCAGTGCAATGTCAGATCGTGGCATTTCAGATTTCAAGTAGTTACTGACCTGCCTATGTAAATTGATGAATTTATGAGGGTCTCCATCTGCCCAGGGGGGAAGCTGTACATCTCCCATCACAGTTCCATCCTGCATGCTGCCTACAACATCCACAAAGGGAAGATAAGACACAAGAATCAGCTGGAGAAATTATAGTTTAGTTTCCATTTCTGATTTCTGTTTCAACATGACAAGCCTCAGGCCTGAGAAGTTACAGTAAGTTTTAGTACCACTGCAGTTCTGGGTCCTGCCTCAGATATAGACCAGATCCCCTAAAATACTGGAAGAAGCTATTTCTCTTGGGATTCCCAATCTAGTTTAGTAGATCCATAGTGATTAAACAGCAGAGAGGACATAAGAATAAAGATGCAAACTAACATCAAGAATTGAATCTTCAGAAGTTTCCCCACTATTAGTTATTACCACAATAAAAAATGTACACATTCCTAGAATTAACTCCATTCCAGCCCTGACTGCAAACACAAGCCAAGCAAACCCAAGGGTAGTATGGGTAAGATACGCTAGTTGCTGTAACCAGCAGCACGCAAGGGAGTAATGCAGCAAGCCTTACTTCTGATCAGTTTTGACAACTTGGCTTCAATGACCAGACACAATAAGCATTTACATTTGGGCACAGCCTTTGTTATGAGTTTGAAGGAGGGCTTGAAATCACATAAACACTAACTATAGTAGCACTGTACCTTCTGTCTCTCTCAGAGCTGGGCTTTAATCACAAAATCTAAACTGAGGCCAAGGCCCTGACTGCAAATGCTGCTGAGAGTGGGAGGCTACTTCAGCCCTTGTTATATATAGGGTTAACAAAAAGGGTACAAATGCAAAGTTTAGATCCATGTTCTGGCAGACAAAGTTCTTTGGGTAGATGTGGTATCTTTTATTAGTCCAACTAAATATTTGGAAAAATAACTATTTAGTTATTTGTCTGCGTGCTCACATACATGTGACCGGCATGCAGCCAGGCAGGGTGGTGGGAGCTGCACCAGCAGCTGGATGCAGGTAAATGTATAGGGAGGGCGGTTGGAGGTTCAGGGCTTGGGGACTGTCTATGTGTGTGTGTTTGTGCACACGTGAGTGTGTGTATGTGTGCATGTGTGTGGAGGGGATGGGTGCATGAGAGGGGGCAGGTGCCTGCCACTACTGGGAGAAGGTGGCCAGACACTAAGGCTGCATCAAGGCAGGAGAGTCGGGGGGGAAGGCACCTGCCCCTCCAGCGGGGGAAGGGGGCAGTTCTTTCAGGGTGGCAGAGTTGCACGGCTGGGCTGGCAGCACCAGGGCTGGTGCTCATACCCTGCGAGGCGCCCAAGAGACGTTGCTCAGGAGGCAGGTGGGGCCATGACCAGGCTGTCTGGCACAGCACAGGAGCCCCAGCCCAGGGCATGCAGGGTGCCACAGGCCTCCTCTCCTCCTCCCTTCAGCCCATGCCAGAGCCAGACTTGCTCCAGTGTTGCCTGAATGAGCCAGAGCCGCTGCACCCACCGTGCTCTGCCTGAGCAGGATGGGAGCAACTGGGGGCCTTCTCCAGCAGGGCTGGGGGGCAGGAGGCTGTGGATTGAGAATGAGGGGCACCAGCAGGGCCAGGGGGCTCTGGGTCAGGACCGGCCATCGATCTTTAGAAATGGGTCATGTCCATATGGTCTCAGTACAAAAAAGGTTGAGAACCACTGTTCTAGATCAAGGGCTTAGCTCCAAACTAGCAAAGTACAATGCTGAAATGGGAGATTGAAACTAAACCTCCTTGCCATTGGGATACTGGGGGCATATTTCAAACTGCATGGCTAGGAGCCACATCAGCCAAGGAACCTTGACACATTGAGGTTCTGTCTCACACCACAACACTAGCAGGAGTGCTCTTGCTCCATTCAAGACTTACCAAATTCAAAATTATTAGAGTTGGTTAAAAACTCAGGCAAATAGAAGAATTCAGGGATGAGCTCCCTGACATCACTCATATTTTCTCGTGATGCTGAGTCCCATGTGTTCTTCACGCTGTGAAACATCCGGTCCGCAACATCAAAGCCTCCACCCTGCATTGGAGACAGAAACACAGAGGGGGAGTACCCAGTCACAGAATCATAGAAAAGTAGGACTGGATGGGATCTTCGCGTGTTACTTAATGTAACCCCATTTGAAACAGGGTCATCCCTACTCAAAACATCCTATACAAAGCCATTGTCTAACCTCTTAGCAAAACTACACATTCAACCCTGACACAACCACAAGACATAATACCCTAACCTGCTACAGGTAAAACAGGGGAATCACTGTGGCCAATGTCCTGCTGCTGCAAGGACTATTAAAATATGCTTGAGAGATCCAAAGAAGAGGGCCATCAACCTCATCCCCCGCACCCCCCCAGCCCAGCTAAACAGGAAGGCAAAAACCTCCACAGTCCGTATCACCAAAGGTCTCCACAGTCCAATGGTGGTGGAATCTCCATCCTTGGACGTTTTTAAGACCTGGTTAGACAAAGCTTTGGCTGGGATGATCTAGTTGGGGATGGTCCTGCTTTGAGCAGGGGGTTGGACTAGATGACTTCCTGAAGTCCCTTCCAACCCTAGTTTTCTATGATTCTATATCAATATGATCAAAGGATAACATTCGTTCTTGACTCAAATATGGTGATCAGTCCAACCCAGAGCAGAAGGGCAAGACCCTATAACCAGAAACCTCCAGGTTTAAGGCCCAGTAGGAGCACTGACACACCCTAGTCAAAATCCCCAGACTTGGCTACAGCCAGAACTCAATGCTTCTGAGGAAGGGGAAAAAAACCTCCAGAACACATGTATCAGCAGGACAGGAAAACAATTCTTTTCTGGCCCCAAGTGCAACCAGCAAAGCACAGAAACATGGGAATGACCATAGAAGAGCATAAACATAGCTGCTCCTAGATCACCCCTGACCAATACTTGTCCAACCTCTTCTTGAACACCTCCAGTGATGGAGCTTCCATAACTTATGCAGTCAGAAGTCCACAAGTTTCTTAGGCTCCAATATGGCACCCAGGAGCAATAAACTACAGTGCCATGAATTGCACATGTAGACACACCCATTGTCTGCTAAATTCAGGCTGACAACAAAGACTATTCTGATGATGATAATGATCATTCATGTCTTTCATCCCAAAACACTTTTAAATCAATGGGAACAACCTTGGTGCACTGATTTAGGCCTGACTGAGGAAAGCAGTTAAGCACATACTTGCAAAGAATTCTTTTTAGGAAAGCAAATAAGCCCATGATTAATTTTATGGATATTAAACACTTTCTTAAGTGCCCTTCATGAATGGGGGTGTACTTTCATGTTTTAGGGGGGTACTATTTTAGCCAATTTTGAATTTTAAACTTCATTGCAGAACAACAAGAAAGCTTTTTTACCACCCTGCCTGCCATCTGACACCTCCAGGGAAGGAATTTTACCTTATCTACACATCAAAGAGATACTCAGCACAGCTCACAAAGACACTCTCATGGACCCAGAGGAACAGCCTTCCATCTTCAGCTCCCTCTGTGCAAAAATGAAGTTTATTTCCTACCTATGGGGACTTTTTACCATCTTGTACCATCTATACTTTTCCCAGAGCCTGATGAAGGGACTTTGAACCT